TTAATTAAAAATTTAACCGAATGTGGAAGTGGAGATTTCAGTTGAGGCACTAACAGATGGACAGATGTCATATTCCAGAACAAGGCGCAAGATCTTGAGGCTGGATCTCAGAAAGCAGAAGAGAAAACCAATCCACATGACTCAACAGCCCTCACCCATCTGATGATCTGAGGAGTTTATTTAGAAGAAGCTGGAGTAGGGGCAAGATTTTTCTAGTGGCGGTTTTGATGTACCACGAAGAATGAGGGACATTCTCTTGTATCGCAAGTCAAAGAAAAGGTACTTAAGGGAAATTGCTTGGAAGCCTGGGCATCTGTGGCTTGTATTTTGGCTGACACATTACGCTAGTCCCTGGCTCCCTCCTGAAGGACTCTGGGGTGGGGGTGCCACTGTGAAAGCTGAGTGAAGGGGAGGCTGACCCTCTGGGCAAAGGATGTGTGATTATTCTTCACAAGCCAGGCGTGGGCAGTGAGCAAGACGGCAGATGTGGTAGACTCAGCACTGTCCTAGACAGCCCGTTTGAGGGGGAGAGAAGACTGGCCCCAAGGGTACCCTGATGCCAGGGTGCTGAGGAAGGAAATAAAGTGGCCATCAGGAATGGCACACCCCTTGTGCAGCCGCTCTCAGCTCCTGACCGCCCCCCCCCCAACCCCGCGCTATGCTCTGTGATGCCAGGGCTGGGCTGCAAGCACCTTTCTCCTTTGCCAGGCCGGCCTCCTGAGCCATCCTGCACAGGTGCTGGCGTGGGGTGACAGCAAGGCTGGAGGAGCGTGGGGCCCCATTCTCTTTCTCTTGCACAACTGCTCATGGCAGCGGCTTACATTGCAGGCTGCTTCTGTCTGCGGTGTCTGGTGGTCACTGCTTTATTTCCGTTTCTAGTTCTGTCCACATTTCTAGAACCAGCCCCAGCACTCTCTCCTAAGCAGCTCTCCTTTTTCCGAGGTCTGAGTCCCAGCTGCCTGGGATCCTGCCTTCCAGCTCCTGAACCATCAGCACCAGGAGGCAGCACCCTCCTCCCAGGCTGGGACCCAGCTCTGGGAGGGTCCTCCTCCAAGCCTCCACGTTCTCATAACCCTACCCCTTCCCTCTGTTGCCTGGACCCAGGGCAGATCACCCTTACACCAACGACAGCTCTGGGACTCCAACGTCCTTATTTGTCTTTAAGTTGTCTGTTGCTTTTCTAGCCCATTCCCTAGATAAATTCTCTCTGTTAAAATAACCAGTGAGTTTCCGCTTTCCTGTCTGGAGCCTGATTTATAAAAAGGGAGCTACATTTTCCACATCCAGAGCGCTGCAGGTAAGGAGCCTCCAAGACAAGGAGAGATTGTGAAGACCCAACAAAAGCACCTCTGGGGAGAGAGAGTCAGTTTTACACACCTGCTGTGCCAGAGTGAATTTAAGGAGTAGGAACCTTCATCCACCCCCGCCCCCCTTCCCAAACGCCCTAAAGCTGAGCCCGGATAGAGAAGGGCTAAGGAGCCCACCCTGGGCTGCAGGTCTGCCTGGGGATGATGCCTTAGCTTTGCTCACTTTTGGGATTGGTTACTACATGGGACTGGACCCAGCCGTGATTTAACCCCTATATTTTTTGTGATATCAAGTAAGCTGATTCTTTGGTTTTTACTTAAAAGTGACCCCAAAAATGCAAAAAAAAAAAAAAAAAAGGACTGCCTTAAATTTCATGTAGGAACAAATGGAAGAACCAGCTCAGGAGCAGTTTTGAGGGAACGTGGGACACAAGCGTGGCAGGCTCCATGACTGCAGTGGGGACTGCAGACAGGTGGTAAGTGAGCAGGCAACACTAGGGTAAGCTGCGCCCAGTGCAGGCAAGCCTGTAGTTTGGCAGGAGCCCTTAAGGGCACCCGGCTCAGGACACCAGCAGGAAGGAAAGCAGATTAATTTCTCTTTTTCTCCTTGAGCCCAATTACACCGTCCTGCTTGGGCCCAGGGCCTGAGTCACATGCTCTCAGAGATTAGAGGACCTCCATTGGAGGATTTACACATAATTGCATTTGTCACTCACCTTCCCGCCTACAATTCAGGACTGGAAACTCCCCAGGTCAAAGATGGTGTATGCTCACCGTTTATTCCTAGCAGGTGGCATAAGATCTGACAAATGCCAGGTCCTTGATACGTAGTTGCTAAGCGATAAGTTTGTGGGTCGAAAGACCTTGGAGAAGGACTACCCGATTCTATAGTGGGGGGCCTGGAGGTGGGATTCAGGGGAATTATAAAAGTGACAGGGAAAGACAGTAAGCTTGCTTTGGGGCCCTCCAGGGAGGCAGGGGGACTAGGGGCACAGAAAGTTCCCTCCGGAGCCCCGGAGGGCGGTGGGGGCCGGGCCTGGGGCAGGGACCCCAGTGGTGGCCGTGGCGGCCCGCCAGGGCGTGCGTGCGGGCGGGGAGGCCCCGGGGCCGTCGGGCGGGGGCTGCGGCGCAAGCTGCGCCCCGGGCCGGGTGTCCGCGCGCACTGTCGCGGCTGCAGCCCCCGGGGGGCGGCCCCTCTCCCTGCCCCCCCTCCGGAACTGTTTTCCTGCCCCGCTCTCTGAAAGCCTTATTGATGGCTCAAAGTGAGCGCCTCAGCCCACGGTTTCCTCAGCCCCCGGAGCAGCCTGCATTTCCTCTGACGTGGCCTCTGTCTTCTGCCCTCCCCAGGAGCCCCGGGGTTTTTACATTTCAAATGCTCGACAGCTGGGTGAACTTCTGCTTCCGCCCGAAGAAGGGCTCTTTGCATTTCACAATGGCCAACCAGTGGCGCCGGGCTATTTTCTCTCCAGCTGTGAGAGAGGCTTTTTCAAGTGACTCGGAGAAGCTGCTGTCCAGCTGCGGCCTCGCCCTCTCTCAGGCTCTGCATTTTAATCAGCGGCGGCTCACTGCCTCGTTTGTGGGGCTCACGCAGATGCACCCCCGCCCCCAGCCTGCCCAGCATCCCCAGGGCCCTTCCGCTCGCTCAGGCAGGTGAGCCCGGGACTGATGTCACCGCAGGTGTGCCCTTGCCTGTCCCAGGCCGCCTGGGTCCGTGTCGGTGCCCTCTCCTGCCCCCCAGCCCGCAGCAGCTCTGCTCCGAGTGCACCCTAAGCAACAGGGCCTCTGACAGGCTGCTTGCAGCCAGGATTCCGCGTACCCCGGGGAAACACGCTGGACTTTTCTGCCCGGGGGACACATGAGCCTGCCTGAAGCCGGCCGGCGGGGGGTCCTGATTCCATCCACAGCTGGATGGCTTTTGGAGGAACCCAGCTTCTACCCTCACCTCTGCTGTGCATTCCCCACTGGGTGCTTTTGTTCTCTCTGGTTCCTGTTTGGGAAAACTTTGTGTGTCATATACCATGACTGTCCCTGCCTGTCCAACCGATCCATCTCCTGGGTCCTGGTTTACATGGCCTTGCCTTCCAAAGGCTTCTCTTTGACTAGCCAAAGTGTCTCTCCATGGCATTCTGCTTCTCTTTAGAAAGAACAGCAAAGATTCACAATCCCTGAGTTTTCACTTTGTGCCAATTGCTCACGCCTTCCACTCGTGTTCATCTCATTTAGTCCGTCAACATCGGGATTGGCACCAATAGTCGTTTTCCACACAGAACTAAGGCAGAGACTTGCCAGTGTTGGCTGGGCACTGGCAGGTCCATGACTGGTGCCTGGCAGCCATGCCCCCTCCCCACGCTTTGTAGGGCCATCGTCCTTCATTTGGCTGATCTTCCACCTCAGGCTAGAACCTCCCTGAGGACTGGACTCTGGTATTCTATATGTTTGTGGGCCCTGCCTATCCTTGCAGACATGAAGGGCTAAAAGGGGCAGAAAGGGAATGGCTGGAAATATACTGAGCACCCCCACCATGTCGTGAACTACAGTCCAAGCTTCTGTGGAGAATATCTGATGTAACCCGCCCACACATCTAGCAAGGAGAGGTTTAATGTCTCCATTTCATTATAGTAAATAATATTTGGGTTATGCTGGACTGTAGGAAGGGAAAATGTACTAAAGCTCCTGTTCCTCAGTTCTTGCTACTTTATATTGATCTATTTCATGGGCTGCTCTCAAAGCTGGTTTCTTCAAGGGATGATGGACATGAACTACATCGTCTACTTCCCTTTTTCATCTAGAATGATGCACTCCCAGGCTAGAAGCCATAGTGGACTTTCTCTCATGTCAACATTGCTTTCATGCTTCTGAAACTTATTTACTCACCACGACTCAGTGAGACAATTATTGTTATCCTCAATTTACAAATGAGGCATCAAGAGAAAAGAATTAAAATGTTTATTAAAACCAAAGAAGGACACAAACTCATTCTAGTACACTGGAGGTCTCAAACTCATAGTCCTAAATTGGCCTAGTGACATATTATACTTGGACCACATGGTATCTTCTTTCATAAATTTAAATTAATTAAAAGCATGTAAAAATTAGTTTACACTTTAAAAGTCCAGATGCCTGTCTCTCTGACCAAATAACAGGTGCTCTAGCAACACTGGGCTCCATTTGCTCATGGCACAATCTGTTGATACTGATTAATTCCTGACCACTGTATTTCAGGGTGAGCTCTGCTCTTTATCAAACTTCATCTCCAGCCTGGTTTACTGACTCACAATATCTGTCAGGCTCCTGAAGGTATTTGCCTTTGCCTCAGAAAGCTTCAAGAAACACCATGCCTGTCAGTGGAACAGTCTGTGATATGGAAACAGTTGTCTTTAAGGGATGGTGACAAGGCCTCATTTAGTCAGATTTACTCATTTATGGCCCATGTCTCTCGAGCTCTGCATTCTGACATAGATTTCAAGGATCCAGCAGGTAATTATGGGGATCTAAGGATGGTTAAACATCAAAAATCAATTAATTATTACAAAACCACATAATCATTTCCATAGATTCAGAAAAAATAACTCGATAAAATTCAGCTCTCTTTCATGGAAAAAAATCCTCGAGAGTTGAACTGACAGTCTTAGCCTTTGCAATATGAAAAGAAAAAAAGAAGAGAAGAGAAGGTTACCAGGATTTAAGTAATAAGTGCTCACTTTGACAGCACATAGACTAAAATCGGAACAAGACAGAGAAGTTGAGCATGGCCCCTGAGCAAGGAGGACGCGCAAATTCACAAAGTATTACCTATTTTTTAAAAAAGATTTAAGTAAGAGATAAAATTGCTCTCAAATGAAAATGTAATATGTTTTTCATAGAAAATCCAATGTAATCTATAAACCATTGGTACTAATGAGCAACCTCATATATTCAATTCATTTATTTGACAAATACATATTCAGTGTGAGTGTGGCTATTCTTGGCATAGCAGACACAGCAGTGAGTAATACAGAAAGTCCTGCCCTTGAGGAGCTCATCTTTTAATTTAAAAATATTTACAATATGTCTCATGATGCCACACGTTCTAGAGAACAATAAAGCACAAGAGATTGATTGATGTATTCTTTTAAAAGTATGTGGTGATGAAGGAAGTCCTCAGTATTAAGATGACAACTGAGTAGAGCCCTGAAGGAAGTAAGAGATCTAGTGCCTAGCTGGGGGAGATCACTGCAGCCTGGGGGGACAGTGAGCACAAATGTTCTAAGTGAGAGCATGCTGGGCATGCTGGTAAGTGCAAGGAAGTGAGTGAAGCTGCATGAGCCAATGGGAGGGTGAGCCACGCAAGGTTGGGGAAGTAACATAGGGCCAGATGACAGAAGGCCTGTAGCTCCTGGAAAGATTCGGCTTTTACCCTGAGTGACATGGGGCTCCTGGAGGGTTTGAGGTAGAGTGTTGTCTTACAGGATCACCCTGTCTTCTCTGCTGAAACAGAGGGCAGTGAGTGCAGAAGCAAGGACATCAGTTAGGGGGTGACTTCAATAATCCGGGAGAGAAATGTCTGTGGCTTGGACCAGAAGTAATGCTGGAGGTGTGAGATATGAATAACTCCTGACTATTCTAAAGGAAGAGCTAACTGGCTTTGTAATAGACTCAGTGTGGTACCTGAGTTTTTAACGTATAACCTGGAAGAATAGAATTTCCATTAACTAAGATCCTGAAGACTGCAGAAAGGAGTAGGTTTGGAGGAGGTGGGGAATCAGGAACTTGATTTTGCACATATTCATTTTGAGATATTTAAGTGGTCAGCTTGGGCCAGGCGTATGCTGTGGTGACAAACACAAATCTTAATGGTATAAATCACAAGTTTGTTTCTCACTGGGGCTATGCCCATTGTGGATTGGACAGTTCTCTGGGACAACTGCTTTTTATGCAACGACTTAGTGACATGGCTCTGCCTTTTCTACTCACAGTCTTCACACTCAATCCTGAAGGGAATGGTGGGATCGGAAAAGTGGGCAGGGTCCTTATACCGCCTCAGCTTGTGGATGTGCAGTCGATGCAGGGGTCTGCTACCCAGAATTCCCTGTGAGGTCTGAAGCATTCATTATCCCTACTGCTGGAGAGTTGGGTACCAATGGATCACCCTACGTGCCTCCCCATGGATTCTCTCCTATAAAGAGAGCCATCCAGCGCAGGGAAATGTCCTCTCCCTAAAGTGGCCCACTTCTGGTGACAGTTGACATGGGGAAACACAGGCAGCTCCTGACTCAATTTGGAACAACTCTGATGGTCCATCCCAGCTCCAGAAGCCCTCATAGGATCACCTAAGGTTCTGTTTTAATTGCATTGCAGTGAACTTTTCTCAATTCTCCTCCCCTCTTTCCCCTTACAGGTGACCTGAAGGTCTGGTCCCAATAACCTCCTGCACCAAATCTCTGTGACGCAGCTTCCCAGGAAAACCCAGCGCATGTAACGTATTTCTTATTTTCTCAATGAGTAGTCACATTCTCCCACCTCAATGAAAGTGTTACGAGGTAGCTACACTTGTGGTGAGCATAGCATAATGTACAAACCTGTCAAAATACTATAGTGTATACCTGAAACTGATGTAACATTGTGTGTCAACTATACCTAAAGATTCTTTTAGAAAAGCGTTTCGAGAAATACAGCATGTGTGCCTGGAAGAGAGATATCATTGGCGAGCACTCACAATATCCATCATATATTCCTTTATTTTTTAAAGATTTTATTTACTTATTTGACAGAGAGAGACACAGCGAGAGAGGGAACACAAGCAGGGGGAGTGGGAGAGGGAGAAGCAGGCTTCCCGCGGAGCAGGGAGCCCGACGCGGGGCTCGATCCCAGGACCGTGGGATCATGACCTGAGCCGAAGGCAGACGCTTAACGACTGAGCCACCCAGGTGCCCCTATCATAAATTCCTTATAGACATCTAAGAAGAGGTAGTAAGTGAACAAGTGGATATACAGAAGGTAGGCTTTGGGGCTTATGACCAGACTGGAGATAGTAATCTTGGGTGATATTTAAAGACTAATATCAGATAAGATCCCCTAATAATTAGGGCAGATAGAAAAGAGCAGAGGTGTGAGGACTGAGCTCTGGGCACGTGAACATTTAGAAATCTAGGAGATGAGGAAGAACCAGGAGAGGAGACAGAGAAGTTGGAGATATGCCCGTGCTATGCCTTAGTTATTCCTTAGAAATTCTCACACTGTACACAAAGGAAGTATGTTCACAAATGGACACTGAACCATTTCTTTTTTTTCTATGGAATAATGGAAACAACCCAAATATCCATCAACACAAGAAAGGACAAATAATTTTAGCAAAATCATAAAATAGTATAGAATATAGCAGTTAGAATGGATGGAATCGAGTTGCATGCATTAATATGAATAAATCTCAAAAACTTAATGTTGAGCAAAAACAGCAGATTTCATTATCATACATATAATATGATACCATTTATATGAAGTTTATTTTTTTAAAGATTTATTTATTTGACAGACAGAGAGAGAGCACAAGCAGGGGAGTGGGAGAGGGAGCAGGGAGCCCAATGCAGGGCACGATCCCAGGACCCTGGGATCATGACCTGAGCTGAAGGCAGACGCTTCACCGACTGAGCCACCCAGGTGCCCCTGAAGTTTTAAACCATTCCAAACAATACCACGTATTGCTAATGGATACCCACCTGTCTAGTAACAGTATGTCGTGCACGTGGGCAGCTGTGAATTCTGCAGTGGGGGACAGAATGGGAGGAAGTTTGCACACTGACATGTATGTTATCCTCTGCGATTACTATGAGTGCCTGAAATGTTGTATATAAAACGATACCTTCCCATCTTGCTGTTATAAAGCACATAAAATAATACAATCAGGTTTTTAAAGTGTCTTTTGTAACAACCGGATGTAGAGTCGCCGTCCATAGCTGGGAACTTTGATTTATTTGGTCATTGCTAAAGTATCACCACGATAATAGCAGGAGAGCTAATGACCATGATTATAATAGTATGCCACTGTTTTAGCCTACATTGTGACCAGAACCGTGCTACGCCTTTCTTAGGCATTCTTCTACTCAGTGTTCACCATGAGCCTAGGATAGAAACGATTATCACCCCTATGTTGCAGATGAGGAAACTGATGCCCGGAGAACATGAAGACACCGTGTCTCACAGCTAAGAAGTGGCAGAACCAGAATCCGGCCCATCTTAGTTTGACTCCAAATTAACGATGCTCGCATGCAGTGTTCCGCTGTCTTCTCTGCCCACTGTGAGGCTCAGAGCACATGTTCAGTTACTGCCTATAAATAGAAGTGAGCCAGAACTGGCAGGCTTGGAGAGGCCAGTAAGAACAGTGCTTATCTCGTGCCCGTCTTGCTTCTCTCCAATCCCAAGTGTTGAGCCACAGAGTGGCAATATGGACGTCACGCAGTCTTCTTTCCCAAGTCCCCAGGGTGATGAATCCATTCCTGTTCTGCTCTTCCCATGCTGCCTATTTCTTGGTAACAGAGGGTGTCACAATGCTCAGGCTTCCTCTTCTGGGGAAACGAATTTAATTCAATTGAACTGAATTTAAAATCACAGATGGGAATGACCTCCGGGAAATTCATTTCAATCCCCTCAATTTACAGACTCAAAGGAAGAGGCCAAAGAAGTTAGGAGGCTTCCTCGCGACGAGCAGCTGCCTCCATGACAGGAGCCCAGGGGTTCTGGACTCCATGGGCTCTGTAGAATCATCTGGTGAATTTTAAACAGTTCTGCTACCCTGGCCGCAGAGCCAGACCCTCTGAGTCAGTTGGTCTGTGGTGGGACTTGGCATTGGTGGCTGCTTCGTCTCTCCAGGTATTTCTGATGTGAAGCCATGGCTGGTAAGCCCTGTGTTTATGCTTCCTTACCCTGGCCCGCTCTCACACGTTCTTCTTTGATCTCGCTGGCCAGGAAGCTGTGACGGGGTTTGTGCTTCTCATTTTGCCAATAGCAAAGGGACAGTAAATGTAGTAGTGTTTGCTTTTCAAAACCTTTCTGAGGTCCACAGAAGATTCTGTCCTATACTTTTCGTCCACATACAGGTCTTCCATTATGACAGTTTCTTCTTTAGTGCATTTTGTTAAGAAGCAGAGAAAGTGATAAGGCACTATTTTTAGCAGCTACAAATGGATGGTATTTGAAAATTATGGCGGTTCAGAATTTTAAGGTTTGTATTTAGTTCTATTTCAGAAATATACACAAGTCTAACTCCAGTTACTATAATGTCTGTTTTATTGAAAGTGGGGTCATCAAACTTTTTCTGTAAAGGATAGAGTAAATATTTTATTGATGCCTGTGTTGCAACCACTCAACTCTCCCTTTGTAGCACGAATAACTTCCACAGATGAGACATAAAGCAGAGGGCGTGGTTATGTTCCAATAAAAGTTTATTTAGAAAAACAAGGGTGGGCTGAGTTGGCTCACCACCAACCTCTAAAGTATCAGATTGAAAGAGATAATGTCTGGTGATGGTCCAACTCTTACGAAAGCCAAAATATAATTAAAAAGCATTTCTTAGATCATGGAGGGTTCTGAAATTAAGAAAAAAATTCTCCAATGTTGTTTTAATATTGTACTCACATATCCAAAGTTTTGTAAGACCCCAGTAAGAAGAAACACAGTGTTTTTTCCAGTACCTTTTAAGTACCTTTGCATCTTTTGAGCACATCCTACCTTTAGTACAATTTATAAATGTTTCTCTTTTTCATCTTCATGAAAGGTTAAAAAAAAAAGAGCAGAAGTAGGCTGCTAAACACCAGAGCAGTCAAAT